TTTATTATAAGGAGCAATTATTTTAATGGTTGATTTTGCTATTCTCATTTGGAGAATAGCAAAATCAACCAAGGCGTTTTTCTATCTCAATATAATTTCAGTAGTGAGAACCGATTTTTATTATCTCCTGTGTCCGTATAGTGGCGAACTAGGGGATGAATCCGGGTTTGCGCACTTTCCGGTAACCAATTTCATGTAATTCCACGTACTTTTGAGGTCGGGTTTTTTAGTACTCTGTACTGAGATTATTTTAATGTCAGGATGTTTCACCTCCGGGAACCTTCTAGCTTCTATTTTCAATAAAAATAAAAAATGTAATTTATTCATCAAATTTTATTTTCTCGCCTTCAAAATATGTCCCTTAGCTTGCAATACAGCAACACTAGCGCTTGATCCAGTCGTACATATATTTTTCGTAAGCTGATTGAAGTATGATCTTGAATTCCTACAGCGAATTTCTTTTACGTCTGCCCGAAAATTCTCGATGCTGTACGAAAAATCAACTTCATAGTTTGTATGGAGTTACCTTACTCGTTTTTTATGCTATGAATATGCGTCGATCGTGAAATCGTTGGCGGCGGCGCGGCGTTCGATAGTTTTTTGACCAACGAATCTCCGATATCGGCGTATCGTATAATTTTCATGTTCCTATGTTCAATAGTTTTTAACTTGCTTAAAAGAAGCGGAGTATCTTCGGTGACTACTCCGACATTTACGAACCGTTTTTGATGATTCTTTTTTGTTGGAAAGGAAGTACCTCAGTAGCGGTTCCATTGAAATTTGAAGGAAATATTTCACCTCTAAGGGTGGTAAATTAGGGGATGAATCTGGTTCATTGGAATTCACTTTTTGTTAACTGATTTCAATAAAAGTTGGCAAATAGATGTTATTTCACAGACTTTTGATTTCGGTTTCTTGGTTACCTATCAGTAGTCCGAAGTTACATTTTCTAGAAATAACGTTTGCTCGAATTTTCATAACCTCGAAAGTAATTTTGAGAGGATTTTTTTCTTTTAAACCTAACTTAATCTAATCTAACCGAACCTAATCGTATCTTTGCGATAAACATCCCACATTATCCTGAAAGATCAACGGTTTCGTTATAATTCGGTTTTCGGTGTAATGAAAATTCGAACAAACGTCATTTCGGAAAAACTAAATTCGAGTTTGTGACAGGTTACCTGGTTCTTTTTATAAAAAATATTTATTTTATACCTACTTATATACACAGTCACAGTAGCTGTACGTTTTTATATTTATCATGCGAAGTAAGCCAGTTCTGCCTAAACAAGACCTCTCTAGATGACGTCAATATCCAAGAACAACAGAAAATCCACTCAGCACCTTGGCGACCAGTCACCAGCCAGATTATTTACACTTAAAATTGTACTTTAGCAGGGTAAGTTAGTATTTATATCAACAGTAGTACATATACTCTTAGATAACAGTGTAACTTTACATGAGTATTGTACTTTTATGTCTACCTATTACAGACGTACACAGCATTTTATGAAATAAAATAATAATAAACAACACAAAAAACAACCAAAAACTTATGTAATTACTGGGGAAACGATTCGAGAATGCTATTTTTGAAAACATTACGGGAATTATCAATAATGTCTATATCTATTCGAACGTTAATTTAGTAGTAAGTAGAGATTAATATAGGCAATGGACTGTGCAGAACTAGTTTAGTCCAGTATCGTGGTACATTAAATATTTTGATTATTTTATGACGGAGTTATTTATAAGGTATGTTAATATTTATTTGGTTAATATATTATATAATATATATAATAATAAATTAATCTTTAGAGTTACGCCTCAGGAAACCCAGCAACTGTGCCGCTCTTCTTGTAACATTAACTTTAATGGTGTTAAATTTTAGCCCACTCTCAAGTGTAACCCCCAAGACCCTTACTTCATCTACCTTCTTTAATATCACACTGTTAATATTGTATGAGTAAATTACAATAAGATTGCGCTTGGTAGTAAAGCTTTTAGGTACTGTCACTGAAAATAGGATGTGTGTTTTGTTTTTCACTAAAATGGATATCATACATAAAAAAAGAAAGTAAAAATGCATCGAATGCAAGAAGACTGTATTTACACAACTATTTCCTATTTTAAATCGTTCGTTCTAGAGTCAATTTCTGTCCTTTAGAAAATTTCTTGCATTTTCAAAAAGTTTTTAGTAATTAAAAAAAAATCCGATACCAACCTGTTCTCTGCGATATCTGTGAACAAAAAATAATTGATTAATAATGATAACAATATGCAAAGCAACTATACTAATTGCTTGGTGTAGACCTAGCGAAATCCCTGCGCCAGAGCATAGAAATTCACACCAGGGCAAAAAATAATTAGAAAGTTAAAGTTCGTCTCCTAAATGCATTTTATCGGTTATCAAACCCAGTGTCGTTAACCGTTGAGCTAACGATGTCTTCGATTACCAGCAGAACAATTACTGACAAAGACAGGCATTAATCTTAGTACGGCAAAATGAAGTCATCAACCTATTATACTTCCCACTACTGGGCCGTCTCTTATAAGGAGATAGTTTAGCCCGTACGCCATGCTGTCCTAATGCGGGCTGCGGATTTCTCATGCTTTTCCAAGTGTTCTGAACTTACTAAGTAGTCTTAAATACATCGTTTTTGACTTTTTAACCTGTTTTCAGTGGTTATCTATCAGAAGTCCGAAATGACATTTTCCAGAAATAACATTTCTTCGAATTTTCATAATCTCGAAAATAATTTTGAGAGGAAAATGTTTTTTTAAACCTAACTTAACCGAACCTAACCGTGACTTTGCAATAAATATCCAACATATCCTGAAAGAACAACGGTTTCATTATAATTCGGTTTTCATGGAAATGAAAATTCGATTCGAAAAAATAAATTTGATTTTATGATATCACCGTTTCAGGATTTTATATGATCGGATAAAGTACTTCCTATCGTGTAACATATTAATACATTCTGTAGATAATATCCTTAGGTGTCTGGTTTATTTCTTGTAAGATCGTTATTTAATAGTAAATACCTAAACCATTTGATCTAGCTGAACAGTTCTTCCCGCTTCTCCTCCGGTGATTCACCTTAAAGGTAAAAAAAATTCATAGTCGTACGCCATAATGAATGTGGAAGCATTTCGAGCGAATTTTATAGTGGCACTTTACATGGCTATTTGTTTTTACGTACAAGATATATTTGGCAAACAATGACCATAGGTATGTCGATAGTATGTGTGACAAAGTACTTGCCTTGTTTGCGTATTCGACAAATGCACCAAACACCAAACTCGTGTTACCGCATTCTGGTTGGTTTCTTGCCGCATATCAAAGGAGCCAAATAGGCAAATACGCAAGTAAACCGTCTGAAGTATGATCATATTCAATATTACAAATTTTTATTGAATTGATATTCAATTGTTTTTACGTGAAATTACTCCACTAGTTTGTTATAATGATTAATACAAAGCTCGAATACTCAGAATAAAATCTTTCAAACAGGCTGGATTCGAACCGACGTCTTCCAGCATACCGTGCCAGACGCTATACCAACTAAGCAACGGGACGAACCAGTGGACCTCACGAATTTTTCTACGTGCTTGCGTCGTATCTTTGTATTTAGTTTTTCAACGACTTTAAAGCCGTAGCGCCATCTATGAGAAATTTATGATATTTCGTCACCCAGTTAAACACCTACATATTCAATATTTTAACTTCTTATTTGGGTCCATGTGATGGTCATATTTTGTCAGTGTCTACATGTTTATCTGTATGTAATATACTTGCCGCCATTAAACATGCTGGTTTCATTGCGGCGTTCTCGCTGTTGGCTCGTAAACTTTAGAAAAAGTACATAATTTTAAAGTTAAAGTCGTACATGCCACCCCAGGGATCTGACCCGTCGACTTCACAATTGAAAAGAAACCGTTCTCCCACGGGACTATCACCACTCTTATTAAAAGAGCAAAATGTAGGCAGTTTTTAACAAACAGTGCCTTTACAGGTACATTAAAATATGCTACATATGGGAAGATGAGATAGGAATTATGAGATGGAAACTTCTGCCACCTTACCTATTTCTGCCACCAAGCAGTAGTGTTAGCATTGCTGTATTCCGGTTTTGAAGGGTACGGGTGCTGGTGAAATTACAGGCACATGGGAGTTGTCAACTTATGTCTCAGGTGACAGGGCAGTGCCCCTCAGATCTTTGCGATTTAAAGCTCTAAGTGGCACTGCAAATGTTATGGACAGGCGTGGAACTTACCATTAAGCACACGGCTAGTCACTTGAAAAAGTCACTCCTATAAAAATATAAACTAAACGTTAGTGAGCAATAAATATCAAATATCTCAACACCAGCCCTGTAAGGGAATTGCAAAAACATAAAAACTGAATTTAAGATGTAGGATAAAATGAGTTATTAATAGATGAGATACACGAACATCACATTGAATAATAAATGAAAATATAAAATTAGTAAATTGAAAATTAAATTTGAAATTAAAAAGAAAATGTTTTAATATTGTACTTATTTTTTAAAAATTCTTTAACGCTTAGACATTTTTCTATAAGACAGTTTCTTATAGAAAATGCTTTAGCTTTTTATAAAATTTTTTTTTTTCTATACTATTTATATCAGGTGGAATCTTATTATATATTTTTATTGACATAATGATACTTTCCCGAACTAAGTGTAATCTGGTTAAAGGCAATTTATTCCTATTTCTTAAGTGTTTGAAAGTTTACAGTCCGACGACATAAATATTTATTTTTTCGTACTAGTTTACACATTTCGTACACATAAATGGAAGCAAGAGTGAAAATTTTATATATTGTTTTATCATTTTAAGTTTAACTTTTTATATATGCAAATTTTAATATGAATGCATTCTTTTCGTAACACAAACTACTTAACTCAGTGCTGTTTTTCCACAAAATAATAATAATTTTATTTATTATTGATAGGTTAATTAATTTAATCGGGGTGGTTCTTAACTATATGTCTGATGAACATTTGACGACCATCAGCAATAATTTTTTCAGTTGTTGCAGGGGTGTCAGCCATAAAATGTAAATCCTATGACACTACAATAGTAGGATAATTTTGAACTGATCTTTATCCAGGACAGTCTATCTAACTCCTTAAATATTTACAACAGAAGTATCGTGTTTCGGCTCACTGAATTGATTTCAATGAGTGGTTGGCTTACGGATGGTGACTAGAATCTGATTATGGAGTAGTAAGATGAACGCAGAAACTTTAGGATTTATATGAACAGATAATATTTATTTCATATTATCAATGTCACAACACAATATCACAATTCAAAATACAATGTCAAGGGATAATATGGTCGTCATTAACGCCAACAACAATAACGAATATAAAATAACGTAGTATAACTACTGCCTTTCCAAATACAACGAAGTTAAGTATAATAAAATTTGTATTGTTTCAAAAGAAACTCATCGACACTGTAGAATCCATTATCTCATAAAAGAAATATTAGTTTGTGAGACTTATCAGAATTTTAAAGTTAAAATCGTACATGCCACTCTTTTTTTAACGAACAGTACCTTTGCAGGTACACACGTCAGCACATCAAGCTACACATTGACGTATCTTGTTCCGTTGTACTGGAGGCGATTTTCGAACAAAAATGTGTAGTCTGACGTGCCGTTGTCCGTACATTAAAAACAGTGCAGTGCAATGCGCGTTCTTAAACGGACGCTCCACTACGCAGTGAGTTAATTATTAATTATAAATCGCGTCTCGCGCGGCACAGGCCGCTGCGCGTGATTGACAATTGGTTCCCAGCAACTAATTACCAATGAGCTCCTGGCGTTTATTCAACACGCTATCGACACCATGGACGAAGTCAGCATTGTGCACATCTGCAAATCGAATTTCAACGAGGATGAGATTTGAACAGCAAGATGCTGTTATTCCAGAGCCTCGGTAAAGTCGAACAGATGCCATCTCGCCGGAGGGATGGAGGCGTGAAGAGTCTCTAAGATATTATCACACACATTCGTGGCGAAGGAATTGCACAAGCTGCCCCAGTCACGTTTGACCACGTTGATGTCACTAGGCTGCTGTAGGACATTACGTCCTTGAAGTCGCGTCTAGCCAAATTACAATGTAAATTAGAGGCTTCGGATAACACCGTAAGTGAGCTGCGTGCCCAAGTTGCGTTATTAAGCAACGCTGCTTTGGTACGTAGGTCACCAGAAGCCTCTAATGTAAACAAGCGTCGTGGGGCGCAAAATGCATCTATTTGCAGTGTCGAGTCGGCACATTTGAATGCACCGATCGCTGTTACCACCACGCATGATGCACCGCGCTCCGCTGCCCGTTTCTCCGGCTCGGCGGAAACATCACGCGTATGCACGTCAACCCCTACACGTGCATACGCTGCTGTAGCCGCTTCAAGTAGCCGGCCCGCCACTTTGAAACGTAATCGGCGGCAATCTACTAAAGGAAAAAGTAATCCCCGTGTGCCAGTCTCTGAAGTTGTAAAATTACAGAGACAGATGGACCAGTGTGACGAGGACGGCTTCACAAAAGTGGAGAAGATGAAGAAGAGGAAGCCCACCACGCTGCTGTTGCGGCTGCATTACTCCAAGTCTGAGGAGATAGTGGAGTATGTCAGATACCGACCGAACATCTGTCGACCTTCGTGAAGAGAGAATTTTGGCCGAAGGGTGTCATATATCGGCGGTTCCGCGGCCGGTTACCCAACATCAGATTGCGCCACACGTCGCCGACAAAGCAATTCGTGTAGATTAGTTAGAAATGGTGTTTTATTATATTGTATGTGTGTTAGTCTTTAAGGTTCATATTCATATGGTTCATGTGGCCTGAAATAAATAAATAAAATAAAATATGTTACCCACATATAACTTCCGGGTACTCATATAGACTCAAGCATTACAATTTGACTTCTTTGGTCAACCGTAGAAAGAGACTTGATTTAATATTCCTATATAAACTAGGTAACGGTTCATTAGATTGCCCCGAGTTATTGAATATGTTGTTATTCAATACTCCTTGTAGGTTGCCCAGGAAAAGCACTTACAACTTTTTGCCGCACCAGGTTCAAAAACGAACCTCGGTCATTTCATTCTTTTGCCAAAGCTCTGCACGACATATAATATAACTCGCTTTTCAAATCACATGATTTGGATATCGGTCTTGTGTTAAACAGTTACAAAAGAAGGCTGGG